TGAGGGCTGACTAATCAGAGCCGCATCAAGTGGGACAGTCCAGGTCCAAGAGCAAGGCTTGGAGAGAAAAGCTGGACAGGTGGAATGTGCTTCTAATTTTGACAGTTTAAACCCCTCAGTGGAATCATCGCTCAGAGTGCTAGGCTGGGAGTAGAGACACACATGACCTCTGCCCTGGGGATTTACACATTTGTAAATACACCCTCATGGCTCAAACGGCAACATTTCCTTGGAACTTCGGAGCACTGGCTTCATTGTACTCTTTGCTTTAAAGTACATTTCTATCCTTTTGGTTTTATTCCGTAGAGACTCTGTTTAACGGTTGTAAGCCTTTGATATGTTTGACAAACTTGCCAAAATCAACTTCTAAAATTAATTCCTTTTGATCTAGGATTTACTTCCAGATCTCCTGAGGAGCCTACAGTGTTCCTCTGTGCCCTGTAAAGACACGCACCAGACATGTTTACATGGCTGAGTGTATCAGTTACTTGGTTTGTTGCTCTGACGATATAACTGGCACACGCAACTGAAGAGAAAAAGTTCTGGGGCTGGAGAACCAGCTCAGCGCTGAAGAGCACACACCCCTCTTCCCAGAGGAGCTGAGCGAGCTCCCAGCAACCACATCAGGCCGCTCCCAGTGGCCTGTAACTCCAGCTCCAGGGAGCCAGTGTCTCCTCTGGCCTCTGAGGGCACCACATACATACCCATAAAATAAAACCTTTAAAAAGAATGGTGCAGGGCCCTGGAGATGGCTTGGTGGGTAAAGGGGCATTTGCCACCCAGCCTGACAACCTGAGTTCAGTTTCTGGATTCCACACAGTAGAATAGAACTGTGGCACACACCTTTAATCCCAGCACTAGGGAGGCAGAGGTAGGAGGATCTCTGAGTCGGAGGCCAGCCTGGGCTACAGAGCGAGATCCAGGACAGCCAGAGCTGTTACACAAAGAAATCCTGTCTTGAAAAACAAAAAAACAAGAGAGAGAGAGAGAGAGAGAGAGAGAGAGAGAGAGAGAGAGAGAGAGAACCGAACAGACTCAAATTGTTCTTTGACGTCCACACACGCACTATGGTGAGCATCCATACATGCCATACACACACACACACACACACACACACACACACACGCACGCACGCACGCACGCACGCACGCACATGCACATGCACACACACGCGCGAGCCTGTGTGCATGCACACCCATACACACAATACAACATCTTGAGGCATCTGTCAAAGCACCTCAAAGACGATCGACTTCCCCTGGACCCAGGCAGCAGCTACGTACAGACAGTGCTGGAGAATGACAGACAGCTCAGCCATCTGTCAAGCTGCCCAAAGGTTTTCCAAACCCTTAAGACATGAAAAGATGACAATGAATCTGTTCATATCTTTATAGGTCGTCAGTTTAGGCTAGATCAGGTCCTCCTGCTGTGACTTGGGCATCTATTGCAACTAACAGGCTTTCAGTGGCTAGATAGAACCTATGTGATCTGTGGTCTCAGCTCAGGCTAGCTCCCAGCTGGCCTTCGCCTCTCTCAGCCTCCATCAGGCTAGACAGATCCTTGACAGGGTGACAGAGGGTCCTAAGAATGTAAAAACACAGTCTGGAGGGCCACTTGTGGCCACGTCTCAAAAGGTGTAAGACCTCATTCCTGCCACTTTCTATTAGCCAAGAAAATCACAGGGCCAGTCCAGAGTCAAGAATGGGTCAGGGAATGCAACTCCTTGTAGGGAGGGAAAATGAAGTCATGTGACAGAGAAGTAACTGTTCTGGGACAGGGGGACTGCGGCCATCTTTGTCACCAACCCATTACATCTGGAGACACTGGGTGTGCATGCAGGGCCCTTTCCAGTGCCTGGCGATGTTGACAGAAACGGTCCCTTACCACAAAGAGCCCAGTCTTTCCCCAGATCCCGTGCCTGACCCAGCGCTCTTCCTGTGTTTCTAGAACCATTACGGGCATGTTTACATGTGCTGATCTTCATTACATCGGTGGTGATCTTTTTGGTGTTCTAGACAGTTCACCGGGAATAAAATTAACTCAGCCCAGCTCGCATTACCTGAGATAGTACTGTGCAGCAGAGCTGAGAACTGGGTTTTGAAATGTCCTCTTCTGCATGTGCACACAGGTGTACATGAGTGTGGGCACATGTGGAGGACAGAGGATCCTTAGGTGTTGCTCCCTAGGAGACCATCCATCTTGTTTTGGAGACAGGGCCTCCCATTGGCCTGAGGCTCAGCACTTCAGCTAAGTGATGAGTGAGCCCCGTGGATCTGCCTGCTGTGGGATTCAGACTCAAGCTTGCTCTGCAAACACTCTGACTAAACCATCTCTCCCCACCACCAGCATCCACCCTGGGAAACACTCTCCTTCCCTTGTGGGTCTGTGTCAACCGTGTAGGGTGTGCCTCGGTCCTTTGTAATCCAAGGAAGCCAAATTAAGGCATCCCAGGGTGGTGGTGGTGGTGGTGCCGCCGCCGGCCGAGGAGGAGGAGGAGGAGGAGGAGGAGGAGAAGGAGGAGGAGGAAAGGGTGAAGCAGCATCTCCAGCCAGCACAGCTGAGATCCAGGTTCTGCATCTGGTACGGACTTGTCTGGGTGCCGCCAGGAAGGAGCAAAAGAGAGGAGAGCGTGCCCTGTTTTGTGCTCTGGGAGAGCGTTCAGCATAAGTGGGTTCCCCAAGAGGACTCAAAGGAGACCAGAGGGTTGGGGAAGGCATGTGACTTTAACCTTTAAAGCTGCAGGTTTCAGATCAGCACTTCCTGAACTACACGCTGTCTACATGCAGACTCTGGATTCAGCCATGTTCTCTTTGTGTGCGTTCAGCTCCAGACAGTGTTCTTCCAAGGGACAACGTTCAATACAGGGGGTCCTATGACTACACCTTGTCACTACAGTGGTCGGAAATGACACCTTGATTCACCACCACCAAGAATCTACAACCCCGCAGGCTCCATTCAACCACTGCATCCATTACATATTTTAAAGATTTATTTATTATGTATACAGTGTTCTGTCTGCATGTTTGCCTGCACAGCACCAGACTTCATCATAGATGGCTGTGAGCCACCATGTGGGTGCTGGGAATTGAACTCGGGTCCTCTGGAAGAGCAGCCAGTGCTCTTAACCTCTGAGCCATCTCTCCAGCCCCTGTTACATATTTTTTAAAATCTCATTTATTACAGCAATTTCACATCAGTCACTCAAGCCCCTGCTGGAGTGCCGCTGGGTGTGAATTTTCTTGTGTTTTCTCAGTAGTACAGGAGTGTGAGGGACTCGAAGCTGCGTCATCGAGAGGCACTCCCCAGCGTGGGTGGCGACTCTCAGAAACGCATCCCTGAAGTGCCTTGCACAGCTCTAACCCCACTGAAGAGTCTCTCGTCCCAGCAAGTGTTGACTGGTTTTTAAGATGCCTGGGACTCAGGTCTCTCCTTCCACAGCAGGGTCCAGGGCTGGACTTCGGCTTGTCAGGTCAGCACTGCAGACTGAGCCGTCCTGCCAGCGCCTGAGTCTTTCATCTGCTGTTTCCCTCTCTGGAATCTTGTGGACTCATTTCTGGTGGCCGATCCTTGTCCTATGGATACATGACCTGAGTCTAGAAAAATGTATAGAATTATTTCTTTTCTGAGGGCGCCAATCCGTGCCTCAAAGGTGCAGACTGGATCTTCTGGCAGCGAGGTGCTCTAAGGCAAGGCCAGGTCCTCACAGGCAAGGCGAGGTCCTCACTTCCAGCTCACCATGTGATCTCTCCCACGTACCTCACCACCACTGTGCCGGGAGGACCTTACCAGGGCTGCACATGTCATCACCAGGCCTTAACCTCCACAATACCCTGGAGGTTACAGAAGTTAACTCTCCACTTCACCCCCCATCCCCTCACTCCCCCGCCCCCCTCACCCCCAACTCTCCCACCACCGCCCAAACTGCCACACACCTTTGATCCCGGATCTGGCCAGTAGGGCTGCAGAGAGAGTTCCAGGACAGCCAGGGCTGCACAGAGAAAAAAACTCTGTCTCTAAAAAAAAAATTAACTAGCTCCAGGTGTGTGTTTGTTTTTGAGACAGAGTATCATGTAGCTCAAACTGGCCTCCATGTCTAACACATGTACACATGGGCTCAACCTGGCTCCCAAACTTAACACACACACACACACACACACACACACACACACACACAGCAAACAAATTTGAAACCACTAGGTATGGGGACTGGTAGCCAGGTATTGGGGTGTACAATTGTAGTTCCAACACTTGGGAGTGTGGAGGCAGGAAGATCAGGAGTTCAAAATCATTCTTAGCAACATAGCGAGTTCAAGACCAGCCAGGGATACATGAGACATTGTCTCAAAAACACAAAACAAAACCTGAGCAAACAAAATCTCTATGGATAATCTATGGACAATTTTAATATACCTGTGACAGTTAATCTCCACTATCAACTTGATAGACTTTATCATCATGAACAAATCTCTGGGCATATCTGTGAGGATCATGTGGATCGCCACAGCTTCCCCACCAGGATGTACTATTGCTTGTGGGTGTGGAGGAGAGTGCTGATCGGAAAAATCACAGGCCATGGTTACCTTTTTAGAGCTTTATTGCGGGGGAGAGAGAGAGAGAGGGAGAGGACAGACAGAAGGAAGGAGCAGAAAGGAAAGAGAGGGATGCACAGAGGGCCCACCCCCTTTTTAGGCTGGGATGCCGTCACAGGCTGATGACGTAATTAAGGACAGAATCCTTACATCTATACCCTCAAACTTCGTCAAAACAAGCATTTCCTTTTCCTTCTCTTCTGCTCCCCTCCTCCAGCTTGCTTACTCTCTCCCTCGACAGGGTTTCTCTGTGTAGCCTGGCTATTGCTCTGTAGACCAGACTGGCCTTGAACTCTGCTTGGGATCAAAGGCGTGCGCCACCACTGCCTGGCAACTGTTTCCTCCTGAAGATGATTTGCCAGTATTTCATCCCAGCAACAAGACAAGAACTAACATATTCCTATAAACAGAAAAAGGACAAATCGCTGATTTATTCTTGAAATAGTTATAACACAAGCAATATTTTGGCAGCAGGATTGAGATCAATTATGGGATAGTCTTAAACCCAGAATTTTAATGATTTTTGCTCCCTGCTGTCACTGGTTTGAACTGGGCAAAATGTTGTCCGTTGCTCTGTGGTACAAGTGGGCAGATTAGTGATGGTCAAAATCAGTTCTCAATTTCTGACAAAATAGCGTATTTTCAAGAAGGTGAAAGAAGTTTTCCCATTAATGTGTCTATAAAATAAATACCCAGAAGATAGCTTTTCCAATTCTGAAAGGCATTAGGCTCTGATTGTGTGGGTCACAAGTGCTGATCCATTTTGGGGCTGATCAGAACATCCTGCTCGCGCTCCGAGCCCAGCCGTCAACTGTGCTGTCCTTCGGCAGACTGAGTTTCCACTCGGCAGAAAGTCTGGCATAATTTACCTTTTCAGATATCGCTGGCAAACTGCCAGTACAATCTCCATCTTTTCTTTCTTCCCCACAAACTCATTAATCATCTGAAAGGGACTTTGATGGAAATGACAAGATCAGGCTCTGCTGTGCAATTAGAACCCTAATGGCTTTGATTGGGAACTTGGTTGAGATTCAGACCCCATCAGACACTGAGAAGAAGAAGAAAAAATGCTTTTTGTGAAAGTGTGGCTTTGCAGGCTGCTTACACAGTATTGTTCCAGAGCGAGAGTTTGAACTTATGACCTCTCCACTTATTTTAAATTTACAAACTTTGGTTCTGAAAAATCTTGCAAGTGAGAAGAACATCATGCAGCAAAGTTAACCAGCCCTAAAGTCTATATACCTTAGTGAACTAATATGCAGTTAGCATTTGCAAAATAAAGTAAATATTTTATTAAGACAGGGTCTCACTCTGCAGTCCTGGCTGACTTGAAACTCTGTGTAGACTAGGCTGACTTTGAACTCACAGAGATCATCCTGCTTCTGCCTCCTGAGTATTGGGGATCTCATGGTTTATAAAGCCATGAATGCATAACTCATCTCAAGTGGAACATATATTTATAGACATGATCTGTTTAATTAACTGTCGGACAATGTCTCAAACTCACTATGTAGCCAAAGATGACAACAGAATCTCACTATGTAGCCCTGGAAGGCCTGGAACTCATCATGTAGTCAGGCTGGCCTTGAACTCATAGAGATCCATTTGCTTTAGCATCAGAAATGCTGGAATCAAAGCCAAATGCCACCACACCAAGCTTTGGCCTTGAACTTCTGATCCTACCTTTGCCACCCATGTGCCAGGGTTACAGACTCATGCGTGTGCTCCAGCAATGCCCACTTATGCTACATTGCAGGTGGAACCCATGGCTTCCTTCATGACAACTGAGCCACATCCTTAGCCCTACATACACACTTTTAAATATTTTAATCTCAAGTTGGTTACTTTTTATTCCTAACAATATCTAGTGAGGTTCTTTCAGACCCAGACTAATAGGTTTTCTGTCTCCCGATAAGAGGTTTCTCTGCCTACAAGTAAGCCAGATCAAGACGAATTGAAAAAGTAGAAGAACAGATTTATTTTAGCAAAGCAATTCCAGGGTGAGTTCTCCATTCCCAGAGAGCAAGGCTGGAGAAGCCACATGCCCGAACTAAAGCAGGAAGATTATATAGGTTGTAGGTGAGGGGTGATAATGTGTCTGCCACAAGCTGGGTTTGTGCCTAAGTTTGGTCAAAAGCTGAACACTTTAGGCGGGGACTCCTAAAAGGGAGGAACTGCTGTAGCTCCCGAGTATTCGAGTATCCGGAACTGGGCTTTTTGGTGCCTCCGCTTTGTTCGTAGATTCTCTGAGTGGGTGGAGTTTGGAGAGACAGGAATGGAGTTTTCCGGATCAAGCAGGGGTGAGCTGGAGGTTCCAACCCAACACAAGCAAAAGAAAAACTTCAGCTTGTTTATGTTCAGTGGGCCTTAAAAATATATTTCAGAGACTCAGCTGTATATAATAAACTATGTCTCGACCAACCAAGGAGTCCTTCAAGAGGAAGCCATTTATCAAGAAATATTTGCAGTTATTCAGCTTTTACTATACATCAGCTGTCTTCTGCTACGAAATTCTTGTGCACTCATATAATACTAGGCCATATGGCAAACAGAATAAGCTTCTGAGACCTACTGCTGATCCACTAGGTAACACCCCTGCAGGGCCTAGGAGACAGGCAGCTGTAGATGCAAAGCTTTGTTTCTTGTGCAAAGGAAGCTCAGACCATCCCTTTCCTTCAGGCCTAGTAGCACTGCAGAGCTGTTGACTGAGGACAATAGGGCTTTTTCATAACCAGGTGCAGTAAAGACTGGAACAGAATTCCTGGAGCAGGCAGAGCTGTGTGGCCCAAGAGAAGGGAAGAGAACAAGGCAGAGTTTCTGTACTGGCTCAGGCTGAGGATAGAGGAGCAAGGAAGAGGTTTTTGTAGATTGTAGGTGAATCAGGTCAGGAGAGGAGAAGAGGGAGGAAAGATGGAGGATGAAGGAACAGGGGATGAAGATGAGATCGAAAGCATAAGGGCTCAGTTATTACCAGGGCTATGAGGGGACAGAAGAAGAAGGGACACAGAGGAACAATTTCAGGAAGGAACTGAAGCTGTGTAGACAGAATTTTGTCTTCGAGAAATAAAGTAACAGACAAAAGAACATGGTGTACATAGGTTCTTTTCCCTCAGATACCCCAAACTGGAGCAGCGTCTTCCCCAGGCCCCTGGGAGGGATTTTCTCAGGGCAGGCCCCTGGGAAAATTCCAATATTGATGGAAAGCTTCAAACATATAAAAGCAGAGAGACCTGCACAGGGGGTCCTATCAGCCATTACACAGGTCTAACAATGATCAACTGATGGCCCACTGCTTCATCTTTATCCGCCACTTAGCCATCACTAATAGACAAGACCACTTATCAATATATCATATTATTCCATCTGTAAATACTTCAGTGTGTTTTAGTAATACATCCTCTTTAAAATACCCACAGTGCAGCTGAGCATAATAACCCACTTCTGTAACCACAGAACTTGGGAGGCTGAGGCAGGAGGATTGCTGTGAATTTGAGGCTAACTTAGATTACCTAGTAAGTTTCTGGCCATCCAGGGCTAGACTGTGAAACTCTTAGTAATAAATGAAAAAAAAAAGAAAGAAAGGCTGGGACTGTAGTTCTCTTGGTAGAGTGCTTGCCCAGCATGTCTGAAGCCCTGGGTTCCATCCACAGTGCCACATAAAACATGGTGCCACACCCCCAAGCACCTGAGAAAGCAAGAGGGTCGAGAGTTTGAGAGCAGTTCGTACACATGAGATCCCTTCTCAAAACCAACCAACAAAACAGCAAAACCCCACAACACTATTATCATCCTTAAAACAAGTCAACAATTCCTCAGGGTCGTTCGTGGCTGTGCTTTGGATGTGGGTCAAAGGCCTGTGGTAAAGGTTTGCTCCTAGCCTACTATCATCAGGAGGTGAATGACCCTTTAAGAGGTAGAGCCTGGCCGGGCGGTGGTGGCGCACGCCTTTAATCCCAGCACTCGGGAGGCAGAGCCAGGCGGATCTCTGTGAGTTCGAGGCCAGCCTGGGCTACCAAGTGAGCTCCAGGAAAGGCGCAAAGCTACGCAGAGAAACCCTGTCTCGAAAAACAAAAAAAAAAAAAAAAAAAAAAAAAAAAAAAAAAGAGGTAGAGCCTGATGGAGGTCTTCCAGTCATGAAGGGTGGGGTGCCTTTAACGGGAAGATTGAGACCTCAGTTCTTATTTATGTGTATGGGTGTTTTGCCTGCATGTACATATGTGCCCCACGCACATGTTACCCACATGTGTGCATAGAGCCTGGGAAGACCAGAAGAGGGCATCCCACAAAGGACATAGGATTTCCTGGGACTGGAGTTACAGATGATTGTGAGCTACCATGTGGATGCTAGGAATTGAATCTGGGTCCTCTGGAAGAGCAGCCAGTGCTCTTAACTACTGCGCCATCTCTCCAGCCCTCTATAAATGAGATTTTTGTTTGTTTGTTTTAAAAAAGAAACAGCCAGGTGATGGTGGTGCACGCCTTTAATCCCAGTACTCTGGAGGCAGAGACAGGTGGATCTCTGTGAGTTGAGGCCAGCCTGGTCTACAGAGTTCCAGAACAACCAGAACTACACAGAGAAATCATGTCTCTAAAACAAACAAACAACAAAAAAGAACCATTAAAAGATCTAGGCATGGTGGCACATACCAGTAATCCCAGCACTCAGGAGTGGAGAAGAGGAGGTCAGGATTTCAACTCCAGCCTTGGCTACACAGTGAGTCCAAGGCCAACCCGGACTACAAGAGACTCCAAAACACAAAAGCCCAGAAGGAACTCCACAGACCCAGCTATTAGAGAAACATAAAAGAAAACCATTTGAGGGAAGGCTATCCAGAAAAGCAATACCAGCTCATAGAAGTCTACTAACACTCTCTGGGTCTTGGATCTGAGCCCATTAGCCCTGAACCAATGCCTCCCTTCCTGTCCCCACTTCAGTGAGGCAAAAACCTGCTGCTGAGACAGCTGAGGATGAGCGTGGACAACAGTGATGGATTCCCTCTGCCCTTCACGGGGTATCACTGAGAGTCCTGGGCTTCATCGGACAAGAGGTCCATGCCACAGAAGCCTAGCTGAGTATGTCTGGCTCAGAGAGAAGCGTGTCAATGACCTCTGCTCTGGCTCCACAACCTAGCTCAGAAATGGCACCTGGGGAAAGCAGAAAGCTTTGATAGTGATAAAGTCTAATCTCTTCCTGGAGAAAATGGCACTCTTGGAGGAGTAGAGTAGCAGAGTGGAATTAAACCCATGGTATCAAAGACAGCCTTGCCATTAACAGCAATTAGGAGCCTGATCAAGTCAGTGAAGACACACAACACCATGAACACTCTGCGCAACCCCGCAGATCTAGTCCCCAGGAAGTGCTGGGCTGAAGATCCAGAGGCAGTGTTTCCTCAAGAGGAGAGCCTTGAGGCCTGGCCCCTCAGCTCTGGGAAGCTGTCCCAGCTGTCCTGCTGGAGGACAGACATGCACCAGGGACAAGAGGCTTCTTCTCAGCTGGCAGCTGGCCCATTGAGCACACTGCTCTGGAAACTAACATCTGGGGCCAGTGTCCATGTCACGGATCCTAGCAAGTAGGCAGCCTCCCCAGGGCTCTGCCCAGGAGCCGAGAACACCAGATCCCCAGGCTCAGTCCAGAGAAGTGGAACAAAGGGTGCCATGTCCTCTCAGCACCTTCCCGGATGTCAGGTCTGAGTTCAGCTCTTTTGATCCACGTCTAAGTGCTGGCCTGAACCTGTTCTCTACCTTCTCGATGTCTCGTGCCTGAGAAACCTATGCCACTGGTCAGGCATGGTGGTGCATGCCTGTAATTCACGAGGCAGGAGGATCTCTGTGAGTTTGAGACCAGCCTGGACTATATAGCAAATTCCAGGACAATTAGGGCTTCATAGGAAGACTTGGTCTCAAACAAAATAAAAAAATGAAAGAAAAAACAAAACAAACAAAAAAAAAGTAGGTTAACTTTTCTTTCCTGCCCACCAATTCCCAAATAACCGACATGGAGACTTAATATTAATTATAAATGCTTGGCCAATAGCTTAGGCTTATTACCAACTAGCTCTTACAACTTAAATTAACCCATTTCTATTACTCTACATCCTGCCGTGTGGCGTTACCTCTCTTTCGCCCTGCACCCCCTCTTTCCTCTCTGTGTCCGGCAACTCCTCTCACTCCACCCTTCTTCCCAGGGTCCTTAGTCTGACTCTCCCACCTAACCTTACCTTGTTCAGCTATTGGCCAAGCAGCTTCTTTATTAAACCAATCACAGTGACATTTATTCATACAGTGCAAAGGACCATTCCACAGAAAAACAAAAGAAACCTGTAGGCCAGGCAGTGGGTACACGCCTTTAATCCCAGCACTGGGGAGGCAAAGGCAGGCGGATCTCTGTGAGTTCCAGGCCAGCCTGGTCTACAGAGTGAGATCCAGGTCAGCCAGTGCTACAGAGAGAAACCCTGTCTTAAAACAAAACAAAAAACCAAAAAGGTTGGGGAGAAAGAAACCTGTATCACTGTTGTGACCAAGATGACAAATCCTGTCTCATGGATCTCAGGACATGTTGTCCACCCTCCATAAAGCAACTTTAGAGGGGGTCATTATGAGAAGGCAGAAGCAGCGGTCCGGGTCCAGTCCTGTGTCCAGCCCCGTCTGGATACCTCGACCCCGCCCTGTGAATTAACAATTGCTCCCTGCTGTTGCTATTGGATGGAGGACAGGTTCTATGTCACAATGGGAATGGACTCGGGGCACTGCCTCAGACACCCGGGGTGGACATTAGCCCCCTTGTCCGACCCCTTCCCAGCCTCACCAAGCCCTGATTCAACCATGTGGCCATGCTTTCCTTTGTTAAGAGTTTATGGTGAAAAGGGACAAGGGAAAACGCCCTGCCTCTGATGTGACCCCAGGACAGGGCTTGAAATCCCACCAATCCCTGAGCTTGCCCCAGAGTCAGACTACAGAATCCCACCAATCCCTGAGCTTGGAAGTCCCACCAATCCCTGGGCTTGCCCCAGAGTCAAACTACAGAATCCCACCAATCCCCGAGTTTGCCCCAGAATCAGGCTATAAAAGTCCACCAATCTCAAGCCACCCTGGAAGGCCCCTCCCCCCAATATTAAAAAATAAAAACAATTTATATAAGCTCTGTGTCCTGTTCTGTTTGCTGCTGCTTCTCACCCTAGAGGCAGCCACCCTCCTGGATTTTTCCTTCTGAATACATCTCTTGAGTAAGGTTTGTTGTGCAGTGTGGTATTTTTACAGAGCTGTAACACTTCCCTGGACATGAGCAGAGCATAAAAACCTTCCTGGGAGACACTCCCCTGAGGGGCAGAGTTGTTACATTGGGGAAGCCTTTCCCTGGCGCAGGGCTGTACACTGCGTGCTTAGGGTGACTTTGTGGTACTCCTTGGCTCCTGACTGCCAGACGCCTTTCCATCTGAGCTGCAATGTTTACAGCTCAACCTTTCCCATCTACTTATCAGGGGCAGAAAAAAAAAGTAGGCAGGAAAGAGCTGGACTGGACAGCAACAGGCATGACAAAGGAGCCCCAGCCCACTCCTGACAGTGTGCATAAGACCCAGTTCAAAATGGGTCACACACGAAATGGGTTTAAATATGAAACACAACGTTATGCCCTTCCCCAAAAGGGGAAGAGCTGGCAGGATGGCTAAGCAGGTAAAGGCACTCCGATAACCTGAGTTTGTCTGGGGGACCTCTATGGGAGAAAGAGATCTCTCACTTCTGCAATTTGTTCTCTGATCTCTGAATACACACTGTGGCGTGTGCATGCACCTCCATTCACACACACACACAAAAATGTAATTTTAAAGTTTAAAGAAGCCGGTGGTGGATTAATCCAAGCACCCAGGAGGCAGAGGCAGGTGGATCTCTGTGAGTTTGAGGCCAGCCTGGTCTACAGAGCAGTTCCAGGACAGCCAGAGCTACATAATACATAATGAGACACTGTCTAGAAAATAATAATAATAATAATAATAATAATAATAATAATAATAATATAAAAAAACCCACTAAACCCAAAAAACAAAACAAAACAAACAAAAAACCCAGAACTCTCAAAACTTAAGAAATCAAGTTAGAAAATGAAGGAAAAGTCACGAACAAAGTGTTCACCAAAGAGGAGAAAGAGACAGGAAGTTAATGCAGGGAAAGGTGCTGGATGTCATTAGCCACTCACAGAGAGTCACAGAAAGTGAAAAAGCCACAGCAGGGCTAACAATGGTGCTCAGCCAGAGGAGGGCTGCAGAGCATGCAGGAAGTGCTGGGTTCGGCCCCCGCGCCACAGGAAACAGGTGTGGTAGAGCTCGCTTGTATTTCCAGCACTTGGGAGGAGGAGGCAGGAGGATCAGAAGTTCAACGTCATCCTTGAATGCACAGCAAGTTTGAGGTCACCCTGTCCCCTAACAGGATCCTTTGTTCCTAACCCCCAAATAAAAATAACAAAGAAAAGATAATACTCCCCAATAAATGAATGTGCTATGAACGCATACAACTTAGCCAAGTCTGCACAGAATCATATGGGGTGCAAGGGTTACAAATATGGAACGAGGGGACAGTGAAACACCTCAGCAGGTAAAGGCACCTGGTGCCAACCCTGACAACCTGGGTTCCATCCTCGGAACTCACTTGATGGAAGGAGAGAACAGACTCCTGCCAAGCTGTCCTCTGATCTCCACAAACAAAATAGGTAAATAATGTGAGTTTTAGGTTTTTGTTTTTTTTTAAAGATCTATTTATTTATTATGTATACAGTGTTCTGTCTGCACATATCCCTTCAAGCCAGAAGAGGGCACCAGATCTCATTACAGATGGTTGTGAGCCACCATGTGGTTGCTGGGAATTGAACTCAGAACCCTTGGAAGAACAAGCAGTGCTCTTATCCTCTGAGCCCTCTCTCCAGCCCCGAGTTTTAGGTTTTTAAAAACTATTGAAGGGATGCATTCTTGCAATGACAAAATTACAGAAATAAAGATTATTGGTAGACTGTGGTGAGGGGTGGAGTTGGGAGGTGGGGACAGCAGGAAGGAGGGCATGGCTATAAAAGAGCAACCTGAGGGATCCTGGTGGCCGTGGAAACGGTCGTTATCTCACCTCATCCACATCCTGCTTTTGAGTATACTATGTGATTTCTCACGATGTTATCAAGGGGAAACTGCGTAGAGGCTGACCACACTTACTGTAGTAAGCAGTGTTTCTCACTGGTGCACACGTGTGGCCCTGCAGCTGTCCCCAAGGGGATAACAGGGTTTGTCTGGAGACAAATATGACTGGCATTTACAAAGTCTGTTTCAACACAGAAGCGGTTTCATGAGGTTTTTATGGCACAGAACAAAGCGAGGGACAAATCAAGATATTTGTGAAATGCATCGATGGAGACATTGGTGGACGGCAGGAGCAAAGCCAGAAGCTTGCTTACAGGCCTCAGGCTGTCTGGATGGATTCTTAGCTTTCTGACTGAATGGGAAATAAGTGTTTTGTTTGTACATACTGGATGATTTACTTAACCGTCACAAAGATGTTATGAAAGCCAGGCTGGTCTACATGAATTCTAGTACAGTCAGAGCTACATAGTAAGACGAGGTGGGGGTAGGGAGAGAGGGAGAGAAATGGTCCAAGATAACCTGGCTGTAGCCCTGCAACACTCCAACTCGCTGTAATCACGATATCACGAGCTGAGGACCGAACCTAGGGCCTTGTGCTTGCTAGGCAAGCGCTCCACCACTGAGCTAAATCCCCAAACCCATGATGTCCTTTTCAGTTTATTAGACCTGCAGGAGGTTTGTTGGAAGCTGCAGCTTCTCTCTATGAACTTTTGTGAACAGAAGTTTAATTTAGATGCTTCCAGAGGTGAAGGGGCTCAGGCAGAGCACTTGCTGCTCCTGCAGAGGACTGAGTTCAGCTCCCAGCACCCACACAATGGCTCACAACCACCTGTGACTCCAGTTCCAGGCAGTCTGACCCTCTTCTGATCACCACCAGCACCAGGCATGCACGTTGGTGCATAGCTGTACATGCAGGCAAAATGCTCACATACATAAAACAAATATTTAAAAAATCAAAACATGGTAAGGCAAACCCTTAACATTTACATTCAATGTCTTGATTCAAAATTGGTTGATATGTGATACTTGAGGCCAACAGCCCCAAAGCATGGCAGACATTCTCTTTCTCTTTCACACAACACATTTTTGATTTCTTTTAATCTTTGTTTTATGTGTATTTATGTTTTGTCTGCATGTACAGCTCTGCACCACATGCATACAGAACATCTGCTTGCCGGTGACTGTGTCAGAGGAGCAGCAGGTGGCAACTGAAGGTCAAGGTGTCAGCCCACCAGGAGGCAACTCCCTGATGGGTGAATCTCAGATAGAGGCAAGGCCCCGAGACCACAGACCCTGGAATGTCTCTTGCTTCTGCTGTGCCTTTACATGTTTGCCCACTGCCATCTTCTTCTGATATCTGGCATGGTGTGAATGGGTATGGGGAGATCCCCACTGCCTGTAATGTAGTATGTTTATCTCATGGATACATCCCACTCTACTGGGCATTTTTAAAAGATTTATTTATTTATTTATTTATTTATTTATTTATTTATTTATTTATTATGTATATAATGTTCTGCCTGCATATATGTCTACAGGCCAGAAGAGGGCACCAGATCTCATTACAGATGGTTGTGAGCCACCACGTGGTTGCTGGGAATTGAACTCAGGACCTCTGGAAGAGCAGTCAGTGCTCTTAACCTCTGAGCCATCTCTCTAGCCCTCTACTGGGGATTTTTACCTGTGGATTATTATGAAGATGATTCCTCCCTAAGCTGTACTGTCTAATTGATAATAATAATAATGTTAGCTTATACAGAATTTTGATGAATAAAAATAAATACAAGAAAATGTCACACAGCTAGGGCCTATGAGCTTCACCTAAGGAGCTGCATTAGATCACAGCTCAGGTTAATGATTAAGAAAAACAATCGAGTCCCAGTCAGCCCAGATAGCTTAAATTATTTTAACCTTAATGTTGGGAGATGTGTTCAGGTTTTGGAGTGCATCACAGCGAAAACAAAGCTTTGAAAATAACTTAAAGTTAGACTAAAATGCTTTTGTCAAATGGCTTTGAGGTGAAAAACTCAAGAAGATAATCTAAAGTTTTAGAAAGGCACATAGTTGAGTGAGGAACTCCTTCAGATCAGGGAACAAGAACAAAGCAGCCCAATTATTATTTGCTGACGCACGTTTCTTTAGGATTAGTTGATGACCAAAGGTGTTATTAATTCCTTACACCCATTTCTACCCTCAATCTCCTGATATAACAATCTATTGATGAATGGACATGCACCCCAAAGATTTAAAGTACAGCTGATTCTTTTTCACATATAAAAGTTTAGGTTTGTGATTCCTTTAAGATTCCTTATAAAATTACCTTTCAAGATAAGTAATAAAGTAATTGGCCCTTTCTTTGTAACTGCAAAATGCAGCCTGCCAGTGAAAGACCTGACTAAGAAGAATACCTTGCTTGCCCACATGGTTAATCTATAACAAGTTGCTTGGGTATGAATGGATGTATGTGGGTTCTTGGGATAATTTGTTTTTCACCTGTAATACATAAATACTTCATCATGTAAGGGATATGGAAAACATGCTGTTTTCTACTCTGTTTTGTATCCATTGTAATCATTCACTTGAGAAGCAGAAAGTAACCACATTGTAATTTTTATATTGCCTGAAAGATTTTGCTGGGGTATATGAGCTGTAAGAAAAAGAATAAAGATAGAATTAAAGAGAGTTAAAATGGGCTAGAAGGAAAACATCAAGAATGAGAGAGGTGATCTGC